CAGCCGGGAGAGGTGCAGACAGGCCACCCCGGCTCCACTGACCGGGCCTGCACCCCAGCTGCTCTTAAAAGCCCGGAGCCCGGGTGCTGGGACTTGGCGGCGTGGGCAGCGTCCTCCTCCATGGCCGGCAGGTGGGCAGGAAGGTCCCTCTTCTTGCTCCGGGTGGACGGTGGCGAGGGGCGCAGAGCTAGGCCGGCTGCTTGGAGCTCAGAGCAGCGCGCTCCAGCTGGGAGAGGTGCAGACAGGCCACCCTGGCTCCACTGACCCGGGCCTGCACCCCAGCTGCTCTTAAAAGCCCGCTCCACCCAGTGGGAGGCGAAGGTCAGAGCAGAGCCGCTCAGGGATCAGAGGTGTGCACACACTTCCTCGCTTTCCTGCAGGGCTAGCTTTCTTTCCGACTCCTCTTCCCTTTTAAAAAGAAGTTGAATGCCATATTTCAGTCATGACTTCATCTAGGGGCGGGGAAAACAGCTCACCCGGCCAGCTCCCCGCCTCCAGTTGGCCAGCGCTGGTAAACTTGTCCCTGGCTGCTATGCTACAGATGCAACAGAGTGGCTGTTCTTTTTTTTTTTTTCTCTTTCCTGAATACAAGTTATTCTAACGGAAAGTATTGTTTGCACTTGCCCTAGACCTGACGGATGGACTGCAGAATGCCTGGTGTCCAAGGAGACGGGAGGGGTCAAGTGTGAAGGGTGCTTGCAGCCCAGCTTGTGTTGTTCGTATTTAATGTCTGAAGGGACGGAAGGGACCCTGCTAACACCCAGGAGAGCAGCCCAGTTCTTCTTCAGAAGTTCTTGTAATTGGGGATGCAAGATAAGTCAAAAGAGACTGAACCTCAAGGATGTTAAAACATGTAACGTTGCCCAGCTGGGCGGTGTGGCTCAGGGGTTGAGCATCATCAGCCTATGAACCAGGAGGTCACAGTTCAATTCCCAGTCGGGGCACATGCCTGGGATGCGGGCTCCATCCCCAGTGTGGGGTGAGCAGGAGGCAGATGATCCAGGATTCTCTCTCATCATTGATGCTTCTATTTCTCTTTTCCTCTCTCTTCCTCTCTGAAATCAATAAAACCATATTTTTAAAAATATAATTTCTTTTGGGAAGTAAAATTAAAAGAGGAACCCCTCAAGCTCCCCCAGTAAATAAAGCCTGGTCTCTTTAAGAGCCTCCCATGCCCTTTGTTTGATATGGCTCAGTCCCTGCTGAGAGACCTTCTCAGGTGGCCCCTCTGCAAGGCACTCATTGACACGTGCCCAGAAAGGGGCTGCCAGGCGGGTGAGCTGGAGTTTCTAAAGTGCTGCTATGTCTGACATTTCCAAATTCCTGTGCAGCGAAGTGGCACACCTGTTCCCAGCCGGGCTGCCTCCGCCCCCACCCCCCCCGGGAGTGGGCCTTATTTCCTAAGATGACTTTCCATGCTTGGATTGGTTTTAAATGCGTTCAGCCTTCGAAAGCACTTTCTGCAGGAAATTGGTAATAGGCCTTCGATGAACAATTGTGAGAAGCACAGATGCCAGCGCCTGGTGTTCAGGGATTGATCATGGAAAAGTACCATTCTTCAATGGCAAAGCCTGCATGTGAGCCCGTCAGTCAGAGGGTCATTCGTTGCCACATTTGTGAGTTTCTGCTATCTGTTCAGTCCCATGACTGATGAACTGTCCAGAGGATATAATGCAGCATGTTCTCAAACCTGCCCTCAGTGGGTAGACCTGTTGGTTAGGGAGAGGAGTTAAATGTATTCACGGAGGCCACAGAGGTTTCCTCAAATAATTGGTACCTCCCCAAACCCACTTAAAGTTAATGTTTTATTTTTTATTTTATTAAAAATTTTTTAAATACATTTTTATTGATTTTAGAGAGGAAGGGAAAGGGAGAGAGAGATAGAAACATCAATGATGAGAGAGAAGCATTGATTGGCTGCCTCCTGCATGCCCCCCACTGGGGATTGAGCACACAACCCAGAATTGAACTGTGACCTCCTAGTTCATAGGTTCATGCTCAACCACTGAGCCATGTTGGTCGAGCTAAAGTGGAAAATAGGCACAAAACAGTGAAAAGATTTGGTTGGAATAATAAAACAGGTAAGATAATCATTAAAATTAATTTACCTTACATTTAACAAATTTTAGTTGGTCAATGATGTGTTAAATGTTAGAACAAAGGACGGATCAAGTGCTGATTTTGAGAAGCGTAATTTTCTAACAAAATTATATGGTATCGTCCACAATATCCTTTTACATTTGATTTCAGTGGGCAAGTCATAAAGAGGGTCATTATTGCAAAAACATTTGAAGGCTTCATCAGTTTCCCAAGAGCCTCTCTTAAATCCTGACATTCAAATTATTCCCTTCGGAAGCAGTTATTGTGCCATCATCTGGGTGGATTTTTTCTTCTTTAAATGTTAACTATTCCAGCTGCAGATTCTCATTCGTCAGAGGAGTTACCCATGATTCAAGGGCTTCTCTCACATTACCTTCATCAACTTCATGATTTCTTACACATTTAGAGAGATTTGCAATTTTACATTATAATCACTGTGCCCTGATTTTTTGCATTGATTGGCACTGATTTTTGCATTGCATTGTTGGATATTGTATCATCTGTTAGATAAACAGAGACCTTGAAGACATGGGGTTAAGGTAGGAAAAGGAGAGAGGGGCTCCTTGTTAAACAGGAAGAAAGATTTGCAAGTGAGCCTAGTTATTTAAAAAAATTAATTTTGAATAGGACACGTAGCATATCGTAACAGTTATCTATTGCTGTGTAACGAACCAGCCTGAAGTTCCAAGGCTGAAAACAACAGTCCTGAGTTTTATGTACTCATGCTTGTGTGATGGCGAGGCAGGCTCAGCCAGAATGGTCATCTCGGCTAGGCACGCCACTCAACTGTCATGGAATCCAAGATGGTCTTCATCACATGACTGGCTCTTCAGCCGGGACAACTAGGAGGTGGGATTTCTCTCTCCTCAATCTTTCAGCCTCAAGGAGACCAGGGAATGAAAGCAAAAGCTGCAAAATTTGGTAAGTTTGGAATTCTCCTCTTGTCATGTCCACTACAGTCATTTGGTCCAAGCAGCTCACAGGCCAAGCTCAGGTTGAAGGGGACAGGAAACAGACCCGCCTCTTTATGGGAGAAGCAGGCATGGTGCTGGAGTGGGTCATATGGGAGCGTTAGCCAGAAGGGTATGGTTAGGGGTCTGACTCCTCCATCCATTCACTAGCTGCCAACTGTTCTCTCAAGTTGCTAAGCCTAACCCTGCCCTGCCCATAGGGGGCCCTAGGCCTTGTGAGGCAGAGATGAGTCATCCTTGCTGGGTCCTGCCCTGATGTCCAATCCACAAAACGGTAGGTGTAATAAAACGATGCCTGCGTTATGTCGCTAAGCTTTGGGATGGTTTGTTATGCAGTAAGAGATACCTGTGACCATGTAGTTTCAATGAAAATGCAGTTCTTGCAGAATTATGAACCGTCTAGGTTTGTCCCCAGCACTCCTGCATCCAATCCATTTATATGTGCTACTGTCCCCACACTTCACTCCTAAAATAACATAACCCTAAGCAAAACTTCACTCTGAGCTTGATACCAAAAATGGTGGGCTACGTAGACACGAAGGAAAAGTGAATTAGGCAGAAAGGAAGGTGGAGGTGAAGGATCACAGCTGGCTTCGCTCTGCACTGCACCCCGCAGGGGGGAGACGAAAGAGAGGTGCGGCTTGTAGAAGGACAGAGGCCCTGCCTTTCCCTGATCCTTTTCTGAGGCGATG